AATACTAATTGTTAATCTTGTTGATAACCAAATAAATGCCATTTGAAATGAGGAAGCAGCCTGCTGTGGGATGGAAAGAAGGAAGAGCTATGGAAAGGGGGGAGGTGCCTGAGGTGCAAGCGTTGTGGAGGTGCAGAGGTTGTGGAGAGCACCTGCACGGTAGAGGCATGAACAGCTGGACCCCATCCCCGGGTCCAAAGTGAAGTGGGCACCAGCCCACTGTCCTGAACTCCACGGCCTCTATCCAAACCCAGCGGACCATCAGAGTTAATGTATAATCATGTTAATGTTAATGTATAATCACCACTTACAACATGAGAAAAGGCGAGGTCGTTGTGGCGAGTGTGCGGGAGAGGCTGGGGGCTGGAAGTGCAGGTGAGTCTGCAGAAGAGGCAGAAAGGGCATCATCAGAAGCAGAGGAAGGGGCTGGGGCAATGTCCTGGAGACCATATGGCATGGACTGTTCTTGGAGCTGAGTGGTGGGAGGCCCCACAGGACAGGAAGGCAAGGTGCAGGCTAGTGTGTGGGGGTCTTGAAGGTCTTTGTAAGGTTTTTGGGTTTTACCCTCAGGTAAATTCCTGGGAACCCACTGAGGGTTTTTCAACAGGTGAATGACCTGGCCTGATCTATGTCTTTAAAGGAGATTCTGACTGCTTTGTTCTAAATGGACCGAATGGGGGAGGCGTGATGTAGGGACCCAGCGGGAAGGGAGAAGAAGGTGCCACAGGTAAAGGCACGGCCAATGCCAAAGATGGAGAAGATCAGGCAGGACATGGTTGGGAAGAAGAGAGGCTCAGGGGGTCCAGTTGAAGACCATCTTCCATCTGCCTGCTCTATGTCTGCTGGAGTAGGACTCAGTCTGGCGGCCGCCAAGAGACGCCCAAGTTTTCCCTTTTGGGTTTCCTTTCTATTCCAGGAGAAGAGTCAAACTGATGATGAGGTGGGGGGAAAAACAAAGGGACATGGAGGAGTCCTGCTGGGGATAGTGTAGAGTCTTAATTAAGTGACTTTGAAGATGCCAAACCCATCACATTTCTAAACGTGGCTCAAGGGAGCATGTGGGTCTCCTGTAGACTGGATTTGCAATTACAACAAACTGTCTTCAACAGTGGCTGACATTCTAAGTGTCAGTTCCATGGCCCACACAGGGTGGTGACATGGCTCTGCTCAGTCTGCCCACCCTCCTGGTGGCTTGTGTGGCTTTCCTGCTGTTTACCTTTGTGTGGAGAAGAGGAGGCACTCGTGGGTTTTTGCTCCCACCTGGCCTTCTTCCTCTTCCCATCATTGGGGATATCCTGCAGGTGGAACTTCGGGACCTGCCCACCTCTCACTCCAGGATAAGACCCCCTCAGGTATGACCAGCTGCTCCCTGGGTTGGTATAAGTGCTTTACTCAGATTTCCCAGCTAATGTTGGTGGGGGGGAGGTTGTTTCTTTCAGTTGTACTCGAATATCCCACTTTTTGTTTATTTGATCCTCTTAGAGAGACCAGGAGTTCTGGTCTCAACCTCAAACATGGTTCCATTCTTAACTGACGGCTCTCTGAGGTCCCTTTCATGGTCTCTGACATGAGAGGGAGCTTCCAGCTTTGATTCAGACCGACACTGAACAAGAGCCCCATAATACCTGGGGCACCTGTTCAGTGAGGATTGTATCCATGGCACAGTGTGGTCATTGCCAAAGCTGCACCCCATTGTCATGATACAAAGTGCCCACCACCCATCTGGCTTTCCAACTGTAGATCTGGAGGTCAACTCCAGGGAGACCTGTCAGCATGTTATTTCCACATCCCTGCCCTTTGGTTAGTCCAGTGCCTTGTGGACCCAGGGATCAAAGGCATCCACTCAGGAAGGGCTATGAGGGGTATAGGGGCATCAGAATCCTCAGACAGCAGTGGATTGTGACCTCAGTGAGGGAGAGGTTGGTGAACATGTCCTAGACTGCCTTGTGGTATAGAAGCTTCTGCAGGGTCTTCATGGAGTCCCTCATCCCCACTGGTGGAGAGATGGCCATGGGCACTCAGTGGTGCCCACTGGAGTGTCTCCACTTTTCCCCAAGCCCATCTGGGCACCTTCCTGTCCCAGCCTGGCTGGGATTCTGCTAGTCATGTGCTTCTCTTCCTGGCGTCAACTCTGCTCCCCTCTCTCCCTTCCAGGAATCTATGCCTCTGCCAGGCCAGGCTCAGAGGGACACAGGTGGCCCTACTCACAGTCCCCAAGCTCCCGGGTCCCCTTCATACTCCTGCAGCCTCATGATGTCCCCTCATTCCTTCTTCCCTCTCTCCTAGGGGACTATTTCTCTTTTCCTGCCTGCTCTTATTTCTTCAAACCTCCATCAGTGTCCCCTCTGGCCCCCATGTGGTTCTCACTCCCATTTCTCCGAGAAAACCAGGCTGTCAGAGAACACGTCCTGAGGCTTCCACGCCAGCAGCCCAGAGCTCCTCAGCTTCCACACCATGAAGCCCATGGGCTCTTTGCACTGACAGGCACGCAGCTGTGCCACTGCTGCCTGCCTCTGCACCTCCTCTTGCTTTCCTCTGTCTAGAAGGAATGCTCTTGTTCTCAGCGCTGCTCAGACCAGAGGCCAGGAGTCATCCTGACTCCCCTCTCCCACCACATCCTGGCCACCAGCAAACCCCTTACTCTACCAAGAAAAGACATCAGGAATCTGGCCTCTCTGGACCTGGATCAATCCAACACAGCTTCTGCCCACAGATGCCCTTCCTTCCATTCTGTCCATGCTCTACACAGGGAGACGGGGAAGGGGGAGGGGGAAACCCACTCCCTCAGCAGCCAGTGCCCCTTTCTGACACACACAAAAGGCCTCATGGGACCTGGACCTCCCACTCCCCCAGACCCATCCTCCCACCACCTAACCCCCTGCACCATCTCCCATGCTCTCCTGTCCTCCGCTGTCCACCATGGCCACTGACCTCCTCACTCCTTCCCAACGCAAACACCCTCAATTCTCAGGGCTTTGCTGGTCCCTCTGCAGTGGCTACCGTTCCCACAGATATCTGCCTGGCTGGCATTCCCATCTTTCTTGGTGTTAAAATGCTACATTCAAAGGGGACCCTCCCTAGTGGCCTTCTCTTGAGGATGAGAGCACCACCAGCCTTCCGCCCCTCCTCACTGGTGTTTCCCATTGGCATGCCTGCATGGAGGCATACTCTGGACTTGACCGTCATATGTTGCCCACTAGAATGTGTATCAAAGAAGATAAATTTCTTGCCATGCCCTGTCTTTCCTCAGTCCTGAGACACCGTGTAGTACCTAGTATTTGTCGAATGCTTAGTAAGTGGTTTGTTCTCTCCAATAAAGGAAGGGATTAGGGAAAGGCACAAGAGGTTGAGAGGCCAGAGTGTGAGTCCCTGCACAGACATGCTGCCCTCATGTCAGCATGGCCCCCGTCTGCAGCCCTGAGTCTTGGCTGGGACACACTGATGGAGAGGGTGCTGGCCAGACATGGGGGCTGCTGGGAGGGAGTGTCTCCATTTCCAACTGCCCCTGTGCATCCAGGAGTTGGGCTAGTTGTTCAGGTGTGCCTTGCCACTGTCCCCAGCTGGCTAAGCAGCACGGCCCCATGTAACCACTGCGTCGGGGCCCCCCATCCAAGTGTCGTGCTATATGGACACCAGGTCCTGAAGGATGTCCTGTGCCCTCAGGAAGTCACTGCAGATGTTGCAGAAACAGCAAGAGACCTTGAATCAGAAATGGGGCCTGAAGATGGGACTGGATTATTGTGATTTCATGACAAAACTTCAGCAGATGAGGAGTTGCTTCTTGGGGGTGAACGAAGAAAGTGGTTTCTTGAGAAGGACCCTCTGCTGGTGGTGATGCCGTGAAGATTTTGAAATGACAACAAAAGACTGGAATATTAGATAACCCTAGTTGATCAGGTAGCAGTGGGGCTGGAGAGGACTGACAGCAACTCCAAAAGAAGTTCTGTGGGTAAGATGTTGTCAAACACCATCCCATGCTACAGAGAAATTGTTCATGTTTCCTCCATACTAGGATTTGACCAATTAGGGACAACGTCTCTCATTTGGTGAAATCAGGATCTCATAATAAACCAGAAATCCCCGGTATCCTCACGAGGTTAGAGGCCAACTACCCGGCCCCCACCCCGCTCCCGCGCAGCTGGACACATCACCTCCCAGGGCTCCTAAAGGACTGAGCTCAGAGGCTTGTGGGAAATGTAGTCTCCCGCGACAACGACGAATGCCCGCGCGGGACTCTGGGTCTTCCGGGTTCCTTCTGCGCACGTGCGGACCCGCCCCTCCTCTTCCGCCCGGAAATCCGGCTCCCTGCGGGTGTCGGCCGCTGTGGCTGCGGGCCCCGGTGTGTTGGGTCCTGTGTCCCCGAAGGTCGGTGCGAGGGGGAAAGGGGACCCCTGCGGCCGGCGGGAGCTCGGCCGGGGGCGGGGCCTGACGTGCAGGCGCGACCCGTGGAGCGAGACCCGGTGCGCGGGGCGACGGGGCTTCGGGGCCCGCGGTTCGGGCGCCGGCCGGGCGCCCTTGGGCTGTGCTGGCGGCGGCCGCTTGGCCGGAGAAAGCGCGCTGCGGGGGGGTTGGGCCCGGCGGCGGCGAGGGTGGGGGTGGGTCTGCAGGCGGTGCGCGTGCCGGTTCCCGCTCGGGCGTGGCGCGAGCGTCTCGATGCGGAGTGCGGGGTCCCGGTCCGCCAAGCTCCTCCCGGGAGCGGTCGTGTGCGCGGGCTCTCTTGAGGCCCCTCCGAGGCCGGGGGTCGGGCCCCCCGCACTGTGCGGTCTGCCGAGCGCTGGGCTCGCGGCAGCGTCTGCAGGACCTGGTTTGCAGGCGCCGCTGGCTGCAGGAGCGGTGGCGCGGCCCCCGACGGCCGTCCTGTCTTCTCTGGAAGGGGCCCCTGTGACTTGAGCGGAGGCAGGAGTCCCGGCAGGGAGAAGACCCCAGCTTTGCATGGCCAAGCGCGTACGGAACAGGGTTGGGGGTGCCACCTCCCCAGAGGGCACCAGAGGCTGCGAGTTATGGGAAGGTTGGACCTGCTCTCCGGAGACCTGAGCCAGGCTGAGAGGGCGGGCGACGGCGGAGGTGTTACTCGCCCGAGGGGCCTGGTGTGAGGGGGAGGGGTAACCTGCTGAGGCTGAGCGGCCACTCGCCCCGCCGACCCCAAACACTGCCTGGCTTGGTTCTCCACTCAGGGTTTCTGTTGCCTGAACTCCCTCCGCTTGCGCAGCTGAAGCTGCCTTCCCCCCCCCCCCCCCCCCCATGGCCCGGGACGGGTCTGCGGGCACCTCTGCCTTACGAGAAGGGTGGGGGGAGGGAGGGGTTCCAGGGCGCGAGTGGGCTGCCGGCTCAGCGGATTGCACGCGTCAGGGAACCCGACTTGGGGGCGGTGTGCGTTCTCTCTCTTGCCACAGGGAAGCCACGGCCATGTCTGTTTCTGACCTCATTTTTGATAAATGCGGTCACTTAGGACAACCGTTTCTTAGGGGAACTGCCTTAAACATGCATGTCCCACTTTCCCTGATGTCTTCTCTGTCCTGCGGGTGCTCAAGGCATTAACAGGGCAGGTGTTCCTGCTGAATGCCGGTCACCTGTCTGAAGATCAAAAATTCTACCGTGCGATGCCAGAGCCTGTTTGTCCATTTCCGGTGTGTGAAATGGGAAGGTTGGACCGCAGTTTTCTTCTCTAACCATCTGCTGCAGGTCAGACCCCGCACGCCCCAGCTGTAGCCAACAGACTCCGTCGAAGTGGGGTGTTAAGACAGGTGTTTGCGGGCTCCCCACGGCCGGTCTCCCGGGGCCTCACTGGAGTCCAGCGAGTGGGCAGTCTTCCCACCTCTCAGAGGTTCGGTGTGCGGTTGTCAAGTTCTGTCGCTGGTCCTTGGTGTAAAATTCAAGACTCTCCCTGTGTACATACTGAGCTCGGGGGTTTAAGTGTATCACGTTCGCGTTTGCTGGGTAACAGGCCAACCGCATCGAATGACTTTAAACAACAGTCATTTTGGGTTTTGAGGTCCTGCGGCTCCGCACTTGGGGCTGGGAGTACTTGGTCGGTTCCCGTCGGTGCCTGGTTCCCAAGAGAGGCCGTGATCATCTGGTGCCATGGCTGGGGTTGGTCGGTGAAAGCGATTTCATTTCCTTCCTGGTGGTTGGTGCTGGCTGTTGGCTGAGCCTTGTATCAGGCCTGTCCCGGGCCTCTTCTCGGATGGCAGCGGAAACGAGTCCGGGGTGTGTGCTGCGTTCCTTTTGATGAGAGCAGGTCACGTGGCAGAGCCCACGTCAGTGTTGGAGGAAGTGAACACAGGGGAGCAGGTCATGGAGAACCGTCACTGGAAGATGCACTGCAGCACAGCGTCCCGTGTCCCTTACGTGTGTCTCTTCGTAAAGTCACGGCCAGCAGTGTTGTGTCTACTTTCTGTGAAGACGAGGTATTTACACCGCGGGTGTCCTCGTGGAGACACTGCTGTGAAGCCCCGCGTGTGCGACTGTTAATAGGAACATACACAATCGTGCTTTAATGAGCATCAAGATCTTAAACTGATTCTTTCTGTTCACTGTTGATAAGTCAGTAGGGAATGTGTGTTTTGATGAACAAACTGTATGTGTAAATTAATGGGCCCGTAACAGGGTCTTTCCTGCCCTTTCTCAAGGTATAAAATCCTCCCGCCCCACAGGAGCTGCACGCCCTCTCCCTCTCGTCTTCGCTAGCGGGTGTGGAGAGCTTCAGACAGGAGAGTCCAGGCTGTGGGAGCAGAGCCCCAGCGTCTTGTCGTGCAGCCGGTCCGGTCGCCGGTCCGGTCGCCTCCTCTCCCAGGGATCCCTCCAGAGCCCTCTGTGCGCTTCCCGGAGCAGCGGACGATGAACACATCTCTGGTGAGTCGTTGGCGTGTTTGCCCCTCAGCTTGTTTGACGTGGCGCTTCCTAAGCTTGGTGAGAAAGGGCTCAGGCTTTATTTATTTATTTTAATTTTATTTTATTTTTCAGTGTTCCCAGATTCATAGTTTATGCAGCACACCCAGTGCTCCATACAGTCCGTGCCTCCTTAATAAGGGCTCGTACTTTACAATAGAAAAGTAGAAGTAAGTAAAATGCAGCTTCAGGGTGATACGCGGAAACATGGGGACAGTGGCATGCGGATGTGGACGGGTTATATGACCTGAGAGTCATCCCAGGTGAGTGCAGGTTGGTCTCTGGTGTTTCCGATGCCACAGCAGAATGACACACAGTGTTGCTACCTGTTCAGAAAGGACCCTCAGAAGAGGCGTGTCCCATTCTCACAGGACCTGAACTTTGCAGGCACAGAAGTCCGAAGCGGTGCTTTTGCTGGTCACACGGCTGAGGGGCGGACAGTGTTTTGCCACCAGTCCGGAAGTCAGCACTTGCAGCGCGGTGTGGCGGTCATGGTCACCTGGTGCCGGAACGCAGTTTGCCTGAGAAGCTTTGCTAAGGGAGAGTCCCAGGCAGCTTCTGGAGGGCCCTGCTGGGTCCACGGCCCCACTGCGGCCCGGCCCGAGCCCTGCTAGAGTCAGACCCTGGGGTGTCTGCAGGACTGACCAGCTGCAGGTCTCACTCTCCACGTGTTTCTGTCAGCCGGTAGGTGTAGGCTCCGTATCCGACTGTGGAGAGTGGTATTTTCTGAGAGAGAGTTCCACGGCTGTTTGTGCCTTACCCTACTCCCTGTCGTCATGTCTTCTAAGTGCAGAAATAACCCTACAACCTACAGAGCGGCCCAGATTATGTTTGATTCAGTAACGGAGCTGTGGGCTGTGCCTCACCCGACCCTCCTGCCGTGGGAAAACCGCTGTCCGGGGTCTCCTGGACGTTCTCGTCTGTTAGCTCCTGGGGCGGCCTCCCTGGCGGTTTCTTCTGCTTGTTTCCTCTCCGGAACGCAGCTCATCCAGGTGTTCATATCTGGGCCCCATTTTCCCTCTGTGGTTTTCCTGGACTTGTCTGGCCCTCTGCAGTTGGACAGTCTGGACAGCGCCTCTCTCCAGCTCAGTCCTCTTCCCTAGCCTTTCCACCACTAGTCCAAGCCCCTGGGGAATGTTTTCGTGCAGCCGTCCCGAAGGCGCCCCAAGCAGAGTGAGTCCTGTGGGAAAAGCGCATCTTCCTTTCTTCTCTCACGCGTCCTTCTTCCCGTTAGCCAGTGACCGACACGACCAAAACGGAGTTTCTGTTCTCCCTCTCTCTCCCCGCGAACCTCGACTGGCATCGAGGTCTGGACAAATGGATAATGAGATGGAGCCGCCGTTTCAGTCACACCCCACTGCAGTCCTACAGAATAGCGTCATTGTCCTCCAGCTCCTCCGTGCTCCTTCCGTTCATTCTTCTGCCTCCTAGCCCTTGGCCGTTGGTGATGCTTTTCCTGTCTCCGTAGTTTTGCCTTTGACAGGCAGGCGTGCCCTTGGAATCACACGGTTTGTGGTCTTTGACGTTTGCTCCTTTCACTTACGAGGGTGCATTTGCGTTTCCTCCCCCATTTTTCCCTTGCCCCGATAGCTCCTTTGTCTTCAGCCCCGCATGGCGGTCCCTTGTCAGAGGGGAGCACAGTTGATTTGTGCATCCGCTGAAGACATTTGGTCACGTCTAGGTGTTGATGGTTATGAATAAAGCAGCAATAGGCATCCATGTGTTGGTTTCCAGATGGACAGAAGTTTTCAGCTCCTCCAGATGCGTATCAGAGGTGCAATGAAGGGATTGTGGGTTGGAAGTCTGTGGGTCCTTGTGCGGACGGTACAGCTGTCTTCCAAATGGCTAAACCATTTTGGTGCCTCAATATGGCAGCCGTAGCAAGTTAAAACTCTGCACTTCATTCCGTTACCTTTTTATTCACTCCTCACGGGGTTTACCACACGAGTCTTTACCAAACACACTAGAGTAGTAGTGCCCTACTTCATAGAAAATAGGAACTTTTGGATAGTGTAAATCCATTGCTGCCCCTGTCGTGTGAACTGTGGATCGTACACACGTGTGTACGTACTGAACCTACAGACGTTATGGGTGCCCTGTACATTGTTGCAGTGTTTCCCTAAAGGATCATGTTTTTTATAGACGTGAAGAAGAAAAATGCATATATATATATATATATATATAGTTCCTTATATTTACCTACACATTTGGCATTTGCAGTGATTTGAGTCTGTCTTATGGATCCAGATTATCTGGTGTCCCTTTGTTTCAACCACGGAGAACGTCATCGTAGTGCCATCTTCTGATGAAGAATTACGTTAGTTTGTGTTCCTCTGAAAATGTTTGTATTTCGCTTCAGTTTTGTAGCGTAACTGCTCAGTGGTGCAGAATCATGGAATCGAAGGATTTACGTTCACCGCTTTGTTCTCCCAGTGTTTCTGATAAGTTGCCCGTCCTTCCACGTGCTCGTACCTGAACGTGCTCGCTCTTCTCTGGCTGCTGTCAAGATTTCTCTTTATTCTTGGATGTTGGCGGGTTGGCTGTGATGTGCCTAGAATAGGTTTGTTTGTTTTTCTGTGTTTTGTTTTTTTCCTAAGTCGAACTTAATTGTGGGCACTGAAGTTAATAAATCTGAATATTTGGGTCACTCACAAAATTTGTGAAGGTTGTAGCCATTGTTTCTGAAATATGTAAACGCTCTATTTTTCCTCCTTTCCTCATGGAACTCCAATTCCATGTTGTTAGACTATTTTTTAAATTGTTTATGGGCCTCTTTTTATTTTTCTTCATTTTTTCCTCTCATAAATATTAGGAAGTATCTGTTGATCCGTCTCCCAAGTTCAGAGACTTTCTTTTGCTGTCGTTTCCAGTCTGAGGTAGGAAATTGCTGCTGTGGTATCCCTTTACCTTACCCCACAGTACAGAGTACAAACCATGGGTATATTTTGTACAAGACCAAACGCACAAAGAAGAATGAACTCCTAGACTTCCTGTTCTGATCCAGGCTGATGCCTTGAATTGAGGCACGTGTCATTCCAGGAATTGGTGTCCTTTGAGGACGTGGCTGTGAACTTCTCCTGGGAGGAGTGGCAGGACCTGGATGATGCTCAGAGGACCCTGTACAGGGCCGTGATGCTGGAGACCTACAGTAGCCTGGTGTCACTGGGTGAGTGAGAGTGTCCTGGCAGGTGTAGGCACTTTCCTCTTCGTGGGTAAAGGTGCAGCGGTGTATGAAGTGAAAGGCTGCTCAGGTTTAAGATCCGTGGCCCAGAAGAATGTGCCTGCTCACCCCCTCATCGGACGTTCATGTTGGCCCTTCACCGTACAGTCCTTGGAGCTCTGCTCATGTCATTCTTCAGAGGCCCTGAAACTTAAGCAGTTTGTTAAAAGTCCCACTTATTTCTGGTCAACAGGGCACTGCATTTCTAAACCTGAGGTGATTGTCAAGTTGGAGCAAGGAGCAGAGCCGTGGGCTGTAGGGGAAGCCCCAACCCAGTGCCTCCCAGGTCAGTGAGTGCATACTGGGCAGGGGTCTATGAAGAGGAGAGCTGATGTTGGCCGTGCTGGGCTGTTTTCCCAGGTGCTTTTCCCAGGTCCAGACCTCAGGACAGTGAGTCTGCATGGATCACACTCCTGCCTTCTTCAGTCTCACAGTATGGCTCTCACCCACAAATGTCCCCTGCCTTTTTTAATTGCCCACTCTTTTCCTAGACTTATCCAAAATCCATTCCTTACCTGCCTCCTCTTAGAATATCTTTCTTCGTTAGCCGTTGTCTCTGGGTTCAAAGATGCCCTCCTTTCCTCCATTCTCAAGCACTGTTTTCTTTCGAGTGTTTATTTATACCCTCATTTATTCTTTCAACACAGGTTAAGCATGGGTCATCTTGTAGTTGTGGGGATTACAGTGGTAATCAAATACATGCCGTCCTTTCTAGGAGATTACTTTCAGTTGAGTCAGAATGAAGCAAATACACAAAACAGTAAGAAGTGGGTAACAATCAGAAATAATGTTTTACCACTCTGAGAGAAAAACTGGGGTGTGTTATTTTAGTAGGGAAGCCCAGAGAAAGTATTTTTGAGGGAATTATCAAGACTTTACTTTCAGATAGCTTTAACCTGAGGTGATAATTTAGATTTTCCAGTGTTGACAACATAACCCATACAGGGTATAATGTCTGGAGTAGAGATTGGGTGTCACTATTAGAAGCTGCAAACTAGAACAATCTTTAGCCTGACTGGTATTTGAGGCACAGGATGAGAGGAGGTTGCCCAGGTAGTTGTTAAGGAAATAAGAGAGCGCAGGACCAAGCCTTGTCAAGCGCGGAATCAGTGTCACAGGGGGGCGGAGAACCATGCACAGGTTGCAGTGTGGAAAGGGTGATCCACAGCATGGGGGCAGAATCTGGAGTGCATGCGTTCTCAAGGCCATTGGAGCCAGGGGTTTCAGGATGCAGTTGCTCCTGCTAAGTAACCCTAATATAACAGAGAGAATCCAGTCCATGCATGGACTCCATTTCCATTGAAAGTAGGACACAGCTGATACTCCAGAGTGCAAAACAGAAGCCTTTAGAAACAGCAAATTGTCAAGTAGGGATGCACTAGCAGGAAGCCAAGCACAGCAAAACAGGTGAGACTGCTTTTCCAAGAAGCAGCCAGAAAAAGACTTTTCAGAGCTCGTGGGTGCAGCCTGTGTTGCGGAACCTAAATTGTTTAGACCAGCAGGGAGGGTAACCCAATGAGGAGAATTGGAACTTGGTTGTAAGAAGCCAAGGCATAGGGTTTCATTAGGAGTTAGCAGAAAGCGGTCTTTGGCTAGCATGGAGAAGGAGAGAGGATGCCCGTAGCCATCCCCCAAGAAGTAGTGAAAAAATAAAGAAACGTGGGTACAGATCCTTGTCCCTAAGCAATATCCCTGCTTAGGTGACAAATGGCCATCTACTGCATCCTAAAGTAGCCAATCCAGGACGATCCTGTCACCTTCAAAGCTGAGTGATGAGGAAAGGCCAAGCAAAAAGGAATGTGCAGTTATTGTGAGAGAAAACAGGAAACAGAAGGGACACAGATGACAGATGAAAAAACTCAGCCGAAACTGCGGCTAGGGAGTAGGTGACTGTTGTGACTTCCTCTTGGATCCAGAAAGGAAAAAAGAAACTTAAAAAAGCAAAACCGAGGGCGCCTGAGTGGCTCAGTGGGTTAAAGCCTCTGCCTTCAGTCAGGTCATGATCTCAGAGTCCTGAGATCGAGCCCCACATCGGGCTCTGCTCAGTGGGGAGCCTGCTTCCCCCTCTCTCTGCCTGCCTCTCTGCCTACTTGTGATCTCTATCAAATAAATAAATAAAATCTTTAAAAATAAATAAATAAAATCTTAAAAAAAAAAAAGAACTGACAAATAAAACCGTGATTTGATATTCAAGAATCTATTAGTATCATTTGTTACATGAATTCGTTAGGGAGAAAAATAATACGCTTATCATAACATACCCATTATCGATTCTTTAAAATTCATATCCTGCTGTTGTTGGGTCCGTTATCAAAGGCAGGAGACTGAGACAAAGTTATGCAAAGCCTTATTCTATGCCAAGAATTGGAAGTCAGACTGACCGGCCAGGGCCGCCTCCGAAGAGAGTGACGCCCCTTGGTCTTACAGGCTAGTTTTATAGGGCACAACCGCAGACCTCTAGGTATGTGCTTTGGCTGATTGGATGTCTCCTACCTGTGTGTTTTAGCAACGGTTACCTGGAACCGATACTAGTAACTGCTGAGGCGTTTATTAAACAACAAAGTGGCTACCTAGGCAACATGGAGTCACTCTGGCTAAGCAGGCCCAAGCAGGCCCTAGGGGTTTAACAGGTTTTAACTTGGAATCGGCCCCAATACTGTGATGGAAAGAAACTGCTTTATTCCTGCACAGACCTTCCATAAGAAATGCTTAGATGTGGTTCACAGACGTGGTTACTTTGTCTCATTTCAGATGTCCAGAGTGCAGGTGACCTGATTGAGACCTGCCAGGAACATCAGAGCAGACGTGTGGGGCAAGTTGGGTTCTCCAGCAACAAAAGGTCAGCTACGAAGAGAACCACCTTGGGCAAACCATTAAATTTGAGCGCAATCCACATTTCAGACCTGGTTATAAATAATGGAAACTGTTCAGGAATGAAGCCAGAGGAGTTTGATGTGTGTCAGAACATGTTTCTCCCTGGTGAGCCTGATGAGATGCATGGTGGAGAGAAGCCCGAGGACCGTAATATGAGCGGCAAACCCTTCGGGTGTGAACACCGTAGTTTTCATCAGAAGGGTCAGATTTTGCAGCCACCTTTTAAATTTGGTGGGCAACGGCATGACTTTAGCAAGGAGACAACCACCTTTACACATAGCAGTGCTCCTGTGGGAGAGACTGCCTGTAACTATGATGACTGTTGGAGAGCCTGTGACAAGTCTGCTGTCGTTGTCCGAGAGAGAACTCACATAGGGGAGGGTCACTGTAGTTGTAACAAATGGGGGAACACCTGCGTGAAACCAACCCAACCGAATCTTCACAGAGCTGATTTGGAGGAGCAACACTGTGAATGTGATCAAAGCGGGGACAATTTCAGCAAGAAATTACACCTTACTCGGCTTTCAAGAACTCAGTTAGGAGAGAAAACTTTTGAATGTGACGTATGTGGCAAAACTTTGCACAAAAAGTCTAATCTCAGTAAACATCAGAAAATGCACACAGGGGAGAAACCCTATCAATGTAGCGAGTGTGAGGAAACCTTTATCAGTAAAACAGTTCTTACAGTACATTGGAGAACTCATACAGGGGAGAAACCCTATGCATGTATCGAGTGTAAGAAATCTTTCTGCCGTAAGTCTCACCTAACTGTTCATCAGAGAACCCACACAGGAGAAAAACCATATGAGTGTTATGAATGTGGGAAATCTTTCTCTGTGAAAACCAAACTCACTGTGCATCTGAGAACACACACAGGGGAGAAGTCCTATGAATGCAACGAGTGTAGGAAATCCTTTTACCAGAAGTCAGCCCTCACTGTACATCAAAGGATTCACAATAGAGAGACACATCATGAATGCAATGATTGTGGTAAAACCTTCCATAAGAAGTCCATTCTCACTGCACATCAGAGAACTCACACAGGAGAGAGACCTTATGAATGTAAAGAATGTGGGAAATCCTTTGGCCATCGCCCAGCTCTTACTGTACATCAGAGAACTCATACAAGAGACAAACCTTATAAATGTAACGAATGTGGGAAATCTTTCTGTGTAAAGCCAAAGCTCACTGTGCATCTGAGACTTCACACCGGTGAGAAACCATATGAGTGTAAAGAATGTGGGAAAACTTTCTACCAGAAATCAAAACTCACTGTACACCAGAGAACTCACACAGGTGAGAAACCTTATAAATGTAACGAATGTTGGAAGACCTTTTGTGAGAAGTCAACTCTCAATAGGCATCAGAGAACTCACACGGGAGAGAAGCCCTATGGATGCAAAGAATGTAGGAAGACTTTCTACCAGAAGTCAGCCCTGACTGTGCATCAGAGAACTCACACAGGAGAGAAGCCCTATGGATGTGATGCATGTGGGAAAACCTTCTGTCAGAAGTCACACCTCAGCAAACATCAGAGAACTCACACTGGGGAGAAGTCATGTGTGGCAGAGACTGGCGATATGTACACCAAAACTCACTTTCTCTTTGTGTTGGGCACACCGTTCGCCTGCATTTCTCGGCTCCCCTTTACTGTGGGTGGAAGCACGTAATTGAGCTCTGGCCGAGATCATGAACACAAATTATGAAGTTACTTCCATGCCTGGCCACAAAAAAACTTACTTGCCTTTGCTGATTTTTCATTCCTTGTGCTCCGGAATGCAGATTACCCACAGGTGTGTCTTTGGAGCCACAGGGTGAAGATGGCAACCAGGACTTAAGGCAGAAAGGACTGACTGGGGAGGGCAAAGATCCTCCCAACGCTGCCTCACAAATCTTCACCTGCATTTACCTGAGTGAGAAGTAGTCACTGTTGAATCCTATGTGTGACCTATTTCCAACAATGTGAGTCCATTGTAGCTAGTTCAGTTTGCGAATTTGAGGTCAGATTCTGTGAGACATTACCAGTCCTCGTGTAAGAGAGTCACACAGGAAAGAACCTTTGTTGTCCCTTTTCATCCCCAAGCAGTGGATGGAAAAATCATAGGAAGAAAGAAATTCAATAAATGCAGGAATGCCTTTATTGGGCAGAGACAGGTCATTGGACACTGAGGATAATGTAAAACCTTATAAATATCTTTAATGTGTCCCAATTTTCAACAGAATGTCCAGCTTTATATCAGTGAATTTTTCATGAAGCGGAAACTATCAGTTTAGGTAATGTGGATAAAAAAAATTCAGATAGAAATGATACATACTATATTAAAGAAAATTTTTGAAAGACTATAGACCATTTGTTCTCTGGGGTGATTTTTGCCTCTACGGGGACACTTGGCAATACTACTTCTGGTAAGTAGCACAGTCAATTCTGAATTTTTCTACTTGGGGTTGTTAACAGGGCCCACAAAGATCCTAAGGGGTGGAGAAGTAGAGTCCACCTGTTGATGTAAAGGCATCTCACAAGAGCGTGTGGCCGTATATGGAAAATACAGTAGGACACCACCTGCTTTCTGGCCACAGAGTTCACATCACTATGAATGCACACACACGAACACTCAAAGGGTTCCAACTTATAAAGCTGTTTGGCTGGACATCCAGGACGTCGTCATCTGTATCAGGACAAGGTGCACAGTCTCTGGGAGCAGTGCCTTCTGTGTGGTTGCTCTTAGTCTGAAGCCATGTGACCTCAAGTGGCCACTTAGGTGGCCCACAGTGTAGCATGGAGATGGGGGCACTCAGTCCACTCAAAGGGGAGGGCAATTGGGAGGCACTCAGTCATCTGTGGTCCCCAAGAACTCTGAAGTCTAGCAGGGCACCCCATCAGCCCCTTGGTCAGGGTGCATTGGGTCTGAGGGTGACTTCCAAAGCTCTGGGTTCTGCACTCTGTCATCTCTCTTCTTCCAACACATAACCAGTTTTTTGTTTGTTTTTACACTAACTAGTTTCTTCAGGTGTATTTCCTGCCCAGAGGGCTCTTTTCATTTGAACTGTTTCTAAACTTATTTCAAATTGATTTAATTTCCTTTAAAAAGTTTTTGGATTTTTGATCTATTATAATCCACTCCATTAGATGAAAGCCATCCCCCACCACTCTGCCTCAGAGTGATGTGGGGAGAATGTCCGTAAGATTTGCAAAAACCCTCTGTGTCATCCGTCGTGAGGATTTACAAGGCTTAAGAGTCTCAGAGGAGGGTCTTAGAGCAGCATCCTTGGTCTGAGATTTACTCT